CTTCAGGGCCGTCCTTACCATGCACTCGGCGAACCTCCACGGCTCCTTCTTCTTGACCAGCTTCTCTAGATCTCTCCTTTTCAGAAACCTGGCTGCACGAAGAAGCGCTTTCCAAGAGGCCTGCAGAGCAACAGGGAGCAGGACATGACACCACAGCCCAGGGCACAGGACCCGTGTCCCTGGACCAAGGCCAGAAGGAGGCTGGAGCTTGGGAGGTGCCAGGGCAGGAGGCAGCCCAGCCCCTTCCCATGGAGACTCCAGAGCCCACAAGCGCTCACTTCTGCCACTTGCTGGTTCTCATTATGCCACTGGAAAAAAAGTGGGAGCAGCCTCTGGATCACGTGTTTCTTCAAGGATGGTTTTCCCTCATCCACTACCAGCTCCATCACCTTTCGGAAGAGGTGAATGGAGAGCAGTTGCACACGGAGGTTGTCCTGATGCAAAGGAAGAAGAAAAGGCCTTAGCACTGGGTGTTCCAGGCCCACCGGGGCACAGGCCTGCACATGCACAGGCCACAGTTTCCTGACAGCCCCCAGGGCCTGTGGTGGGGTGCACAGAGCCTTACATCGCTAAAGAGTGTCTGGACTGCCTCAGCCAGTTGCAGGGCAGTGGGAGTGGAGATTAGGACATCTCTGTCCTCAACTTCATTAATGAATACAGAGAGGGCCATCCCGACCAGCTCTCTGTCTGCATCCAATAGTACATCCATGAGGATTTTTGTCAGGGTCCGCATGCCATCAGCCTGTGAGGAACACAATGCTGTGCTGTGAAGTCAGGAATGGTGGAATCCTAGAACATCCCCAGTTGGAAGTGACCCACAAGGGTCATCGAGTCCAACTTCTGTCCCTGCACAGGAATCCCAAAACAAGGCTGTGCTGTGAAGCCAGGAACGGCTGCAGAGCCAACCCCGCTCGGGCGGGGCAGCCCCAGGTGCTGCCGCGGGGCCCGGAGGCCAAAGGCCTGTCCCAAGGGACTGGGGCAGCTGAGCAGGGAGGCAACTGAGCTGGGAGCAGCTGCCACAGCTCCCAAAGCCCAGCCCAGCCCAAGTGACTGCCTTGCCCAGCCCCACGCTGCCCACACGGCTTCAGCCCCTGCCCCTGCTCACCATCGCACGATCTTTGCTCAGCACCACAAGAGCTCTGAGTGCCAGGCGACGCCTCTCTGGGCACTCGCTCTGAAGGTGCCTTGAAGCAATCTCCAGGACTCTGTCACCGCATTCTCTCAAGTCCAGGCAGTCGAGGACCTGCAAGGCACGCAGCAGTGACGGGGTGCCCGACCGGCAGGAGCCCGGACCCGCACAGGGTTGTGCCCAGGCAGCAGCTGCGGCTGCCAGAGGGTTTAGAGGTGGAGGCAGCTCGGCCAGGCAGCGCTCGCCAGCAGGCTCACCTCCACAAGGAAGGCCATGGCGGGAACCTCCCAGCAGGGCTTGTCCCTGCTGAGAAGCCCCAGTAGGCAGAGGGCAATCCAGGAACATAACGGGACTGAAACACGGCGCATCTCCCTGGCAGGGGAAAAAAGGCACCATCAACCCTGAGCTGGGTGGGCCAACCTCTGCTGGGGCTCACTCACACAGAGGCCTGGTCTTTCCCCACCAGCTCAGGAGGGGACACATGCACCTTGGCAGGCGGCTCCTCCTGTGCCCCCGCCTCTCCCAGCCTTTTCCACTCTGCTCAGCCATCCCTGGCTGACAAGGCCCTCTGGCCCACGACCACGGGCACTGTGGGGGTGCCCCGTGCCCAGGCAGAATTGACAGGGGCAGCAGGGACAAGGGGGTCTCACCTGGCCAGCAGACCCACTGCGTAGTGGCGGGTGTCAGGCCTGAGGAGCGTGTCCCAGCCACGCTTCCGTTCCATTGCCATCACAATATTTTCAAACTGCAGATGGCAAAGCAGGGTCTTCATGGTCAGCACTGCGAATCTGTGTGGAGAGAGAAGCCCAGGTCATGCTGGGAGCCCTGAGCCTGCCCCAAGGGCATGGAAGGCACAGGAGGACTGGGATGGAGCACCTGCTGGGATTCCTGGCAAAGCGGTGTTCCTCCCAGCATCTCCCC